TCGTTTATCGTCCATACAACTGTGGCCTGAGAGATTCAGCTGAAAGTCCTGGTGCACCTTTTATTTGAACCTGCAGAGATTTGAACAGCTGATCTGAAGCAAACAGGCAGGAGTTCACCTGAACTGACCACTCCTGCTGTGTTTGATGGTCTCCTCCTTCGCCATCCGTCCATCCATCCATCCATCCATCCATCCATTCATCCATCTTCTGCTTCAGGGTTGTGGGAGCAGCATCTTCACCAGGGAGGCACAGACATCAACAGCCACCTCTTCAACTCTTCTAGGACTCCATGGTGTTCACAGACCAACTGACTATTTATTAAGTAATATCCTGATGCTGCTCAATAATTCAGGTAGAAAAATCTAAAAAGTTAAGTCTGGTCCTCTGGACATTCACAAATCAAACAATACAGTTTATAATAAATAAACTAAATGTTTTTTGTTTGTTTTGTTTTTTGAATGTCCAGAGGACCAGACTTAACTTTTTTAGATTAATAAGTAATAAATTTATGTTTTTAAATTTAATGAAAGACAAATCTTTAAAATTCAAGGACAAAATTTAACCTAATTGTTTTCAAGTCTGTATCTTATTGTAAAAGCAGTTTCAAAGATTACAGCACAGTGGGATGTTTTGCAATTTTAACATGAACCTTGTGCATATCTGCAAATAATAAAAGTGAAGATATTTTTAATACATATTTACTGTAAAAATCTATACTAAAATGAAAAACACATGGATTTAAAGCAGGCAGGGAAGGCAGTAAGGTAGGATTATGAATCAGGTTTAAAAGTTACAGCTCATGAGGTACTCCATTAGAGCATGACATCTTTTCCACAACATCTTGAGACAAAGTCTTCAGGGTGTTCTTCTTCTAATATATTTAGTGGTGGCTAGTAAGTAGCTTAAGGGAGCACTACCGCCACCAGGTGGTAAGACGAGTTGGATTCTAGTCCCCGCCTACAGAGCTGGTCCAGAAATGTACATGGAAACGCAACAGACCCGAGCCGATCTGAACCAACCCGAACTGATCTGATCCGTACTGTGACAGTGGAAAAGGGGCACTAGTTTTCCTGCCACCCTGGTGTTAGACACATGCTGCACCTTGTTAAAGCATCCTTTTGGTGACCTAACCTTAGTAAAGATGTTAAGGATTTCATTTCAGCCTGTCCCACTTGTGCTCGGAACAAGCACAGCAACCAGCCTCCTGCTGGCCTGCTGCTACCTCTTCCCATCCCCAGCCCTCCCTGGTCACACATCGCCTTGGACTTCGTCACTGGTCTCCCCGTCTCTGATGGTAACACTGTTATCTGCACCATTGTCGACCGTTTTTCCAAGTCTGCACATTTCATTCCTCTACCTAAACTTCCCTCTCCTCTCGAGACTGCTCAGATTGTCACAGAAAATGTCTTTCACCTTCACTGCATCCCTCAGGACATCGTCTCTGACCGTGGACCACAATTTGTTTCTCAAGTGTGGAGGGGGTTTTGTCGAGCTTTGGGAGCAACTACCAGCCTTACGTCTGGATACCATCCTCAATCCAACGGCCAAACAGAATGTTGCAACCAGGACCGGGAAACAGCTCTGAGGTGCGTAATTGACAGCAATCCCTCATCCTGGAGTCAACATCTGCCTTGGATTGAGTATGCTCACAAACCTCTGCAGCCACTGGAAAATCTCATTTCGAGGTCGCTATACCATACCATACCATACCATACCATACCATACCATACCAATTTATTTATAGAGCACTTAAAACAGCAACAAGGCCAACCAAAGTGCTGTACAAAGGAAAACAAACATGCACAGAGGACAGGAAAACATAAAATAAAAATACAGATACAAATAGCAGCAGAAGCTAACTAAAATGGCCAAGAGTAGAGTACAGACCGGACCAAAACAAATCACACCGTGTTAAAGGCAAGAGAATAGAAGTGGGTCTTCAAGTGAGACTTAAAGACTGAGAGTGTGGGAGCCTGCCGGACACTCAGTGGCAACTCATTCCACAGTCGTGGACCTGCAACAGAGAAAGCCCTGTCACCTCTGAGCTTACGACGGGTTTCTGGGACTGAGAGAAGCATCTGGTCTGCTGACCTCAGAGAGCGCGGTGGGACATATGGCTGCAGAAGATCAGTGAGATAGGATGGGGCGGAACTGTTCAGTGATTTAAAAACATACATGAGAATTTTGAATAGGATCCAAAGGTGAATGGGTAGCCAGTGCAGGGAGGCCAAAACTGGCGTGATGTGCTCTCTATAGCCTGTACCAGTTCAAAATTGGGCTGCAGCATTTTGGACCAGTTGTAGACGAGCAATGGAGGACTGACTGATTCCAAACAGAAGTGAATTGCAGTAATCAAGCCTAAATGAAGGCATGGATCACTGTCTTAAGGTTCTTTTTGGAGAGTATAGGCTTCAGCTTAGACAGCCGTCTCAGCTGAAAAAAACAGGATTTGACCATCATGTTTACGTGACTGTTGAGTTTTAAGGACGGGTCCATTATCACCCCCAGATTAGTCACCTTTTGTTTCTCTAGCGGGGCTAGAGAGAAAAGGTCAATGTCATGGTTCATGAGTGAGCCACTGGGATGGAACAGCATGACTTCAGACTTCTTCACATTGAAGCTTAAGAAGTTTAAAGCCATCCAGTCCCAGATGTCAGCCAGGCAGTCAAGAAGAGGCTGAATAGAACGTATGCCTCTGTGCCTCAGGGGGAAGTAAATTTGGCAATCATCGGCGTAGAAATGAAAGGGTATGTTGTGTTTGCGGAAAATAGCACCTAGTGGCAGCAGGTATAAAGAAAAGAGAAGGGGACCGAGGATGGACCCCTGTGGAACCCCCCACTGGAGCGCTGTCGATGCCGAACTAAAATCTTTGATATTGACACAGAAGGTTCTGTCAGAGAGATAGGACCCAAAACATTTAAGGGCTGACCCTGTGATGCCCACCCACTGCTCCAGTCTAGAAATGAGGATCTTGTGGTTGATGGTGTCAAAAGCAGATGTCAGGTCCAATAGGACAAGCAGCACAGAATCACCTGTGTCTGTGGATATGAAAATGTCATTAAAAACCTTCAGTAGAGCAGTTTCAGTGCTATGGAGAGATTTGAAGCCAGATTGGAATAACTCTAGGATAGCGTGATCCCCCAAAAACTGTTTCAACTGAGACTCCACAATTTTTTCCAGTAGTTTGGAGGTGAATGGGAGTCTGGAGACAGGCCGGAAGTTGGACATGACTGAGGGGTCAAGGTTAGGTTTTTTCAGGAGGGGCTGGACAGCAGCATGTTTAAAAGTTTTTGGCACCACACCTGAGGATAAACTGCTATTCAGAATAGCGAGAATAAAAGGACGCAGGGTAGGAAAAACTTCCTTTAGTAGTCGAGGGGGGACCACATCAAAGGGGGAACAAGATGGCTTCATGCTGCACATTACCTGCTCCAGAGAAGACAGAGAGATGGGCTCAAAGTGGTCAAACACAGCCACACACTGAGATGGGATGGACAGATCATGAGCTGGTGGAGAAATGAGTGCCCGGGTGTTTGCCACTTTTTCTATAAAGAAATGGAGGAAGTTTTCACACAGCTCAGTTGAGGCTTCCAGAGGTGAAGGTTCACTGAGGTGTAGAACTGAGTTCAGGGTGGAGAAAAGAACTCGGGGGTTGTGGGAGTTGATGACAATTAAATCAGAGAAGAATTTACATTTGGCAGCTTTAACGGGTTTCTGATAGTGACGCCAACTCTCCCTTAACATTTGAAAAGAAACCTGCAGCTTGTCCTTCCTCCACCTTCGTTCAGCTCTGCGACACTGCTGCCTAACGGCTCGAGTGACGTCATTCAGCCAAGGCTCTGATTTAAGTTTCGTTTTTCTGGTCTTAAGGGGAGCAACACGGTCCAGAACATTTAAACAGGCAGAGTTGAACTGAGAGGTTAGCTCCTCACTGGTAAGAGACACCGAGAGCTGTTCGATCCTCTCAGAGTTAAAATCTTCATTAAAACGAGCAGCAGTGAAATGGTTAATGGAACGCGTACATGCAGGAACGCACATCTTAGCAGTAGGACGGGGGGGGGGGGGAGTCAAACAATACAGGCATGTGATCTGAAAAAACATTGTCACCAATTTTCAAATTAGAAACAGAGACATCACGTGTTAAAACGAGGTCCAGCGTGTGACTGTGTTCTTGGGTGGGACCGTTTACCTGCTGAGTTAAATTAAAAGAGTCCAATAAATCTAGAAAGTCCTTCACTAAGGGCTTCTCCTGACAACAGGAGCTATGGGCTTCACTCCTCCACTGTTCCCCTCACAGGAGCCTGATGTGGGAGTCCCCTCGGTCCACCTTTACCTCAAACGCTGCCGTCAGATCTGGCGCCAGACGAGAGCAGCTCTGTCCAGATCTTCGGAGCAGAACAGACGCTTCGCTGATAGACGTCGATCCAAGGCTCCTGACTACAAGGTCGGTCAAAAAGTATGGATGTCTACCAAGGACATAACCTTAAAAGACACCCCCAAGAAACTCTCCCCCAGGTTCATCGGGCCATTTCCTGTGATAAAAGTGATTAACCGGTCGGTGGTGCGTCTACAGCTCCCGCCTGCCATGAAGATACACCCTACCTTTCACGTATCTCACATCAAACCGGTAACCACCAGCCCTCTACACCCTCCGACCAACCTCCCTCCCCCCCGTCTCATAGACAATGAACCGGCCTTCTCGGTCCAACGCCTTTTGGATGTACGACGTCATGGTCGGGGAGTCTCAACCTTCTTCCAAGCTCACCCCGAAAAGAGACTTAGATTGCCAAGATGCGATTCCTGAGGGGGTGGGGGGCACTGTGGGATTCCTGGGTTTTTCGTCTGTCACTCACTCTTCCTTCCACAGCCAATTAACCTCAACTCACTCCACCTGCTGCTGCTCTGAGGAGGACTGCCTGATGGGGTATTTAAGCACCTGCTAGACACCTCTTCAGTGCTGGGACATCTTCTACCAAATGGTAACTCATGTACAGCCGACTAACCTTTGTTATAGCTGGTTCTCACCAACTGTGACTCCTCCAGGACCTTCCACGGCCTGCCTCTTCAGATCCTTCCTAGGATCTCATCGCTCCACTAGACTCCGCCTGTGGATCAACGGTGTACCTTCAACAACGCATTCTCAACTGGGTCAACCTGCTCCTCTCTCCACCGCAAAATACCTCAGGACTGGATCTCCTACAAAAACCCAGGACCTCTCCTCTTCTTGGACTCCACCTACAACACATATAGTAAGGAGTCATTTCTCTATATTCAAGAATCAAAACATTCAAAGAGACCACCAGAACCCATACTCACCTATTCCTCTTCTCCCTTACAGCTGCGACGTTACGATCACCTGTATATAAAAGTTCACTTACCTTTTGTAGTTCTGGCTCTGTATTTATTGAATCAGTCTGCTCACGTGGGGGTCAACGTTGATAAAAACCTGATAGTATGTCCCAGCCAATGGGCCCCCCGAGCAAGACTGAGGAGGTAAAGACTCAGTTAGAACTAAAATAAACACTGACCCTCTCCACTTAACTTTACAGCGGATTTTTGTGTAGCAACAAACAACTCAGGACAATCTACGAGAGTTGGGTGAAAAACCTGCATGTTAGGCTGCCTTCAGACCCAGGCCTCCCTTGCAAAAGAGATCTGTGATCTCATTAGGATTAGACTGGTTAAATAAAGTTTAATAAATAATAATAAATATATACCATATTTAAAGTGAGGTGAGGGATGTCATCATGGAGACTGATGAAACAATGGTCTCTTTTTATGTCACATCACTCTTTACGTGCATTCCTGTTGATGATGCAGTAGAGGTGGTCAGTTTAAGATTAAAATCAGACACCACTTTGAACAGCAGGACCACGCTTTCCACAGAACAACTGTGCCAACTCTTGAAACTGTGCCTGCAGTCAACCTACTTCACATATGGGGAGCAATATAATAGGCAGAAACATGGGTGTGCTCTGGAGTCTCCAGTTTCTCCTATTGTTGCCAACCTGTACATGCAGGAGGTAGAAAAGAGATCCTTGATGTCCTTTTCAGGGACACCACCAAGTCATTGGTTCAGGTATGTTGACGACACCTGGGTTAAAATTAAATCTCAGGAAGTCCAACATTTTACTGACCACATCAACTCTGTGGATAAATACATCAAGTTCACATGAGAAAATATAAAAAATGGCAGGCTGGCTTTCTTGGACTGTGAGGTCTCAGTCTCTGATAGAGGACATTTGCAAACTAAGGTGTACCGAAAACCCACCCACACAGACAAGTATTTGCAGTTTGACTCCCATCACCCTTTGGAGAACAAATTAGGAGTCATCAGGACTCTGTATCACAGAGCAGACAGCGTCCCCACTAACTCAGGAGCCAGGCAGAAGGAGAAATTCCACACAAGACAGGCTCTAGAGCAATGTGGATATCCTAACTGGGCCTTCTTGAAAGCAGAAAAGAAACCCAAACAGGACTCCAGTCAGCCATCATATGAAAAGGAGGAACCCAGACCCAGACCAGTGGTCATTCCGTATGTTGAGGGTGTATCAGAGAAACTGAGACGTTTATTTACTAAACATAACGTCCCAGTGGCTTTCAAACCCCAAAATACATCCCAAAGATCCAGTCCCCCGGCACAAACAGAGTAATATTGTGTATGCTGTTCAGTGTCAGGAGGGCTGTGATCAGTCGTACATTGGGGAAACTAAACAGCCACTGGCCAAAAGGATGGCCCAGCACTGAAGATCAACATCATCAGGCCAGGAATCTGCAGTCTACACTCATCTCCAGGCCAGCGATCACTCTTTCAAGGATGAAGATGTTCATATCCTGGACAGAGAGGAACGATGGTTTGAGAGAGGAGTAAAGGAGGCCATCGTTGTGAAAAGAAATAGTCCATCATTAAACAGGGGTGGAGACCTCCGGGTTCAACTGTCCCCCTCTTACTATGCTGTGATTGCTAGTATCACTCAGCCTCCTGTGAATAGTAAACAGCCATCAGTGTGCTAATGATCCATTGTTAGGCTGATGGTCCTTCTTGACCATGTGAGCAGCTGGTTTTGGTTGTCAGCAGCAAACTGGTTGATCCACTCTGAGAAGGTGCTATTTAAGAGACTGAGCTGAATACAGCACCTCAGACTGAGGAAGTCTTACGGATGAAACACGAAACGTATCTACATTTTTTTTTTGTTGCTTTGTTTTGTTTATTGTTTTGTTGAATGTCCAGAGGACCAGATTGAACTTTTTTTTTTTTTTTTCTACCTGGATTATTAAGCATGCATCAGGATATACCATATTTAGTTTTCACCTAAAATTTTGTTGTGCTTTATGGTCAACCACCTCCACTCCTGGGAAGATTGAAGGTGTTTTGAAAGGGTCTTTTAACACTTCTGAGACTGATTGGCTTCAAAGGCTGATTCTCGATAATCAATGGGGATGTTCTTCCTCTTCGGCACTGTGGTAACACAAACATCAACACTTCAGAGCAGAAAACTGCTAAAAATTTAGTTTTAATTGAGGTGCTCACATTTGCTGATGATGAGTTAATCACAAAGCATTTGATTAGCAGCACTTGTATGGAATATGTCTGAAAGACATTTTTCCATACTTTAGTTGTTAGTTGGGCATCGGATCACTCTTTGACCTTAGTGACTTTACTAATGGGACCAGAAATTGATGTTCTACCTCAGCTAAGCAGCGTGCAGACAATCATAGACAGTTTGTTCTGGCTCCAGAGTCCTTGCATGCCTGACGTTCTGGGCAGGCACTACAATTGCTTCAAACTATTTTGGAAATTTGTTTTCCCAGGCAAATGTGTTTAGCAGGCTGTGCCTCTAAAACAAACAGATAGAAGGTGGATGGGAAAGAATAATAATAATAAAAAACTCTCTGGAGAAGGTTTCCTCTATTTGTATTTCTGTATGTTTCATTCATTAAGTGAGGACAGTTCTGTAGAGATCTATGGTAAATGGTAAATGGACTGTACTTATATAGCGACTTTCTATCTTATCGCGATACTCAAAGCTCTTTACTACACAATCTGTGCCTCATTTACCCATTCATGCAGCACTCTACTAGATCTACAAAGCTAATTGAACAAATAATTCTAAAGAGACTAATCAGTGCTTTAAGATCCCATTCATACACTGATGGGACACACATCGGAGGCATCGAGGGGTTCAGTGTCTTGCCCTGAGACACTTCAACATGTGACTGCTGGTGGATTCGAACCCCCAACTCTTGCATTGGAGGACGACTGCTCTATCACTCAGCCACAGCTGCCCCAATCTCCAACCTGATCATGAAGCATGGATATATTCACTCCCAAAGTTTTAACAACAAAGTCCATGCTCAATAGTCCAGGTATAAAATCCAACATTTTTCAGTCAAGTCATATGGACAGTTTCTTTTTTTGTGCTGAAACGTTTCGCCTTCGATCCGGAAGGCTTCATCAGTCAATGAAACCCACAACAAAACTGATTCTTCCTCCAACAGATTACTCCAAAGTGGAACAAACCAGTTTGTTGGACCCAAAGTTTTACTTCTCCTTCACTCAGTAACACAAGAGTATGAGTCCTTTTGCTGCTAATGGGATAAAACCTGTTTCTGCTACTGTATGTGCTTGTAGACTCAGCTGGAAAAACACCTTTATGAATGAGTGTGTGGGGGATTATGGACATTCTGTGGTTACAATTTCATGTCAACAAAATTAAGCTCAAACACAGACAGCAATCAATCTTAGCTGGAGAGAATTTTCAGTAAAAGAAAATAGTCTGAGGAACTAAAGAGCTAAGAGGGCGGTTGATTTATTAAGATGAGAAAATTAAGTTTATTTAAATTGTTTCCAGTAGGAATGCAGCAGTGCTGTTTGAACAAGGTTCTGGGACAGTGTTGCTGTAGGTGCTGAACGTGGCAGAGCGTGGTAATACAAGGTCTTTTGGATAATTTTCCCAGCAGTGCAGACAGTTCCATCTAGCAGGCCACAAACCTTTGGTCTGAGTTGGATCACTGAGTCTGAGCGAGATTATCGGTCCTCTGACACCAGAGAACAACACAGTCGTGTTCGGTTCTGTTATGACTAATGACTGTGATTCTTTACACAAAACTATTTTCATTTTATTCATCACTCCCTTGGCTGAAACTTGTGACATTAATGATGCAGAGAAGCAGAACTTCTTCAGAAAACCCAAGATGATGATTAAAACTCACTTCAACAGGACCACCACAACCAGAGACAATGCCCTGTTTCACCATTTGACTTTAACATTTAGTTGTGCATTGTTTGCTTCTATCTATGCACAAATATAACAGCCTCAGTATAAATCTGAACATCCATCCATCCATCCATTATCTTTTACCTGTTTCTTCCATTTTGGGTCACGGGGGTCGCTGGTGCCCATGTCCAGCAATCACTGTTTGAGGGGTGGGGTACACCCTGGACAGGTTGCATGTCCATCACAGGGACACATGGAGACAAATAAGACAAACAACCATTCACTCTCTCACTCACACCCAAGGACAATTTAGAGTTACCAGTTAGTCTAACATGCATGTTTTTGGTCTGTGGGAGGAAACCGGAGTACCCGGAGAAAACCCACGCATGCACGGACAGAACATGCAAACTCCACCCAGAAAGGCCCCCAGACCAGGATTTGAACCAGGGACCTGCTCGCTGAGAGGCAGCAGCTCTACCAGTTGCGCCACCGTGTTGCCCACAGTAAGCTTCCTTCATTTTCAATTTTTTTCTGAATTTTCACAGCCGTTATAGTTATAGCAGCACATTAAAATAACACGGTGCTTCAGACAGAACTTGCTTTAGTAAAAAATATGCTTTTCACATGGACAAAGGTGAACAGTTGTTAGCTAGCTTAAACCTTCAACGTGTTATCCTATTTAGCATTAAATAAGGATGGTGTTTTAGACAATTTATTGCATTAACTGGTCACTACATTTCCAAACATTGATAGGAACTTGTAAAATATACTTAGGGCTGATTTGGGGAATTGACTTCATTCAAGCAAAAGCCTGGAGCTCAGTTGGAT